TGTGACGGCGCGTTGGGGGTTCCCCGTCTCCTGCACCCCGAAATGGCACAAACAGACTGCACCAGCCAGTGGAATTGAGGGTGGTTTATCGCTCCTCCAGCACAGCGCAGCACAGATGTAGTCTGGTCACAGGAACTGGGCTAGGATGCCTCAGGCCCCCTTGAGATGGGGGAGATTGGGCCCCTAAACTCCAGCCCCTTCTCCTAGGCTCTCCTCCATGCCCTCCGACAGCCCGCAACCAACTCCCTCACTTCCAGCCCTGCCCCCCAGCCAAGGCAGCATTCCACCTTCCTTTGTTCCTCTCCATGGGGGGTGTCTGGCCACTGGTTTGCATAGTGACTCATCCTGTTTTGCTGGGTCGTGGTACCCACAGCAGCCAGTGGGGGTTACCCCAGAGCCAGCAGCATAGAAACCAGCCAGGTACCCCCACTACGTCACAGTGACTCAGTTTCCCTGGGCACTGCACCCATCCTGGCTGGGGATGGGAGTTTTGGATATGACTCTCACTGAGGGGAGGCTGCTCCAGGGTGCCCTGGCCCAGCACATACATAGTAACTCAGGCTCTCTTATAACCTGAGCCTAGGTGGGAGGGGAGGGGGTGTAACCAGATAACACCTTTTGCAGGGACAAAAGAGGAAGCGGGGCTGCCTGAAGGGCTGGGACCGGCTGCTGTGTGAGAGTTAATCTTGGCTGGCTTAGGATGCAGGGAGTCTAGCTGGCTTGGAGGGCAGAGATAGGGCCAGGGCCCCCTTCCTCCCAAGATGGATTGTAGTGACAGCTCCTAGTACCTCGCTAACAAGTCTGTTCTGCACGGCGTCCCTGTGAACCAATAAACCTTCAGTTCCACCTGCCGGCTGAGTCTCCCCTCTGGCTGTGATTGGGGGTGCAGGGCCAAATGGTCCCCACCCTCCATGACAGGTACCATGGACAGAGCGGTGCTGGGAGAAGGTAAGGTGAGCCAGGGGAACTGAGGCCCTAAGAAACCCCTGGCTGAGACCCAGCAACAGGGGCCCAGCGAGGTACCAGGGCTGCCAAGGAGCAGCCAGGCCAGCAGAAGGCCCCCACCCTGTTGCCAGTGACGCGTGGCCACGTCAGTCTGCAGTGTGCCCCGACGGAAGAAGCTAGATGGCGACTGGGGGATAATGGGTTTCTCTGGGAGGCGAGGACCCTGTGCGGGCACTGCTGCGGAGCCGTGCCTGAGGGAAGGGCGCCAGAAGCAGTGGAGAACTCCCAAAAGGGCAGGGAACAGCAGGTGAGACACCGCTGGGGGGGGGGGCCGTGTGCCTGGACTGGGCTGAGTGATGAGCAGAAGGCACTGCGGGGCTGAGTCACACGCTGCTAACGGGGGTCTATAAAATCATGACCTGGAGTGAACAGGTGAGTGTCGTTTCCCCTCCACAACACACAAGAACCCGGGGTCACTCAGAAACGAACAGGTAGCAGTTTGAAACAAAAGGAACTACTTCTCCACACCGTGCACTGCAAACCTGTTAAACTCATTGCCGGGTAGGCTGTGAAGGGCAAAACTATAGTTGGAAGAAAACCCAAATGCAGTAACTCAAGGAGGATAGATCTACCAACGGCTAGTAGCCAAGACTGTCACGGATGGAACCCCTTCCTCTAAGTTCCTCTAAACTTCTGACCGCCAGATGCTAGGACTGGGTCGCAGGGGATGGGTCACTGGATAACTGCCCTGTCTGTCTACTCTCTTTGAAGCATCGGGCACTGGCCACTGCTGGATGACAGGTCAGTGGGGCAGATGGACCTCTGGTCTGACCCAATTTGACTGATTTTCAAGCCGTTTGAACTCCGTGATGGACCCTGGCCAGTAATACCTGGGAAGGAGACTGTAGGTGAGAGAAAAAACTTTGAGCAAAGACTGTCATCTTGCTAGATTCGATTAGTGTCTTTTTGTTTGACTGTTAATTGCTTGTAACCATTTCTACCGTTATCCCCACTAATTGATATCACTTACCCTACGCCCTTTTGTTCACGAACATGCTATTTTTGCTATAAACCAACTCAGTGCTGTGCTTGAAGGGAAGGGTGTGTGCAGCCCAGTTCAGTTAAGAAGAGGCAATGCGACAATGCTAACAGATCAGCAAACCTAGCATGCTCTGTGCCTGAACGGTGACAGGGCCTGCATGTTGAAGAGGACCATCTCTGAGGAGCTCGGGAGCTGGAGTTCCAGGCAAGGTTTGGGCTGGGAGAGCCTAGCGGAGTTTGCTGGTGAGGCAGGGAGCTGATACACCGTCCCACCACCAGCAAAGTTCACTCCTGCAAGGGCAGCGGGTCTGACGTCGGCTCCCAGCTCTGGACCTCCCCAGCAGCATGGTACGGAGTCAGAGCTGGGTTCCATTTCCAGCTCCACCACTGACTCACAGCAGGGTCTCTATCCAGACCCCTCACCTCTTGTGCAATGGAGTTACACTGAGCTAAGCCTTTCAAATGTCTTTGGAGACCTCTGGAAGCAAAGCTAGGCAAGTGCAAATGGTCGGGTTGGTCTGGGCCACCTTGTGAGGTTCTTTCCCAGCAGCGGAGGGACAGAGAAGGGGGAAGGCAGGAGGCCTGGGGACCCATTTGCCGAGTACTCACAGAGGAACACAAGGCTGATACCCAAGGACTCACCATCACATGAAGCAGCTCATGATCCGACTGGTCAGAAACCTGCAATTCTCTCACGTGCTCGCTGGCATCGGACTCCTTGAAAAACCCAAAAGGGATGCATTTCAGTCCATATGGCGGCAAGTTTACTGGGCCATTTCCAACAAAAGCAGACCTAAGGGTGCTGGGAAAACAAGTCCAATCTGTACATGCTACTGGGCTGCACCCGAGTTTCTGACACTACACAAAAGACATTTCTAAGGGTGCGCCCCACAGACAAGCACGAGACGCCGCGCTGCGGGGAGAACAGGCTTTTGGAAGCAGGCGGGGCTGGAGGGGTAAATAAGTGCTCTTCAAACGGGTCTCCAAACAGTCGGTGATGAACGGCGCCTGCACAGAGCTCAGGCTCTTCCCAAGCCCAGCCACTCCCAGTTCTGACCATTATTCCCTCCCCAGGCCCAGCCTGCTGTGCTGGCTCCCAGCTGAAGCCTCGCACCGAGCTTCTCTACGTCACCACTTCTCCGCTCCAGACCTCATGCTGCACAACTCGGTGGTGATCTCCACACGCCACCTCCTTCTGATCCACGGTCTACAGTATGGCTACTCATGCCCGAGGGCCCAGCCCAGCAAATACTTCAGACCACGTGTGGCAGCTACCACTGGCAGCTAAACATGGTCTTTGTTCGACTTCAGGGGGAATGGACAGGAATGCGCCCTACGTCCCAGTCCTGCAAAACTTCCATGCATGCTTAACTTTACGAACCTGAGCCAGACTAGGGAGGAATTGGCCTCTGGGGATATGCTGTCCATGGACTGGACACTGCATCTGTTTAGACTCCACTCCAGCAGGCAGAGAGTTAACACACCCTGCTGGAAAGGAAGCACTTGGGGCTCTTGCGAGGGACTGCACAGCAAAGCACCGCAGTTACTGGCTGGGGCGCAGTGGAAGAATGGTGGGAAAGGCGACAATGTGTCCTGGAAGGTATCACAGGGGGCAGAGTCTATCCACATCTGGAACCAAGCCCCCTCCCTTCAGCATACGTCCTCGGAGCTGTAAGTAGCAGAGCTGGTAACTTGTACACATTTGCCCCACCTCCACACCAGCCAAGAAACACCTGACAGCTGGGCACGGTGAGAACACACAATGATCAGATTGTAGGACTGGAAGGGACCTTGAGAAGTCAGCTAGTCCAGTGCCCTGCACTCAGGGCAGGACCAAGCACCGGACAGACAATCCCTGACAGGCAACCTGCACTTACATATCTCCAGTGATGGAGATTCCACAACCGCCACAGGCAACTTATTCCAGTGTTTGACCACCCTGACAGGTAGAAAGTTTTCCTTACGTCCAACCTGGCTGCAATTTAAACCCATTATAAGCCAGCTCCTCGTGTGCACCAGCTCCTAGGGAACCGACTGTCCCCCCGCCCCCTGTGAGAAATTTTTAGCGGTTACACGGTTACTTAAATTCATTTTAACATCCCTACTTAAAACAGCTTCCTTGCTACGGACGGCAGCGCTGAAAGCTGAGGTCTATCTCTGCTCAGAGATTTGAGATGTGTTTCCCAGTTCAGGGCCTTTGCCTGCTGGAGCTCTGAGCAGCACTTCTTACGTGCGTTACGGAAGGGACTTCCTAGAGGCAGAGCAGGGGACCTGTTGAGCACTTGCACCCCAATTCAGGACAGCGTTACTATTAAGAAAGCTCTTTCACACTTGCTGCCCTTTAAGAGCCTGCCAAAGTCCCTTGCCGCCAATGGGACTGCTGCACGTGCGCACACTGCTCTCCTGAGTCAGGGCGTGGCAAAGCAGTGGAGGCAGCAGGCGGGGGTTCTCACAATAAGCTCTGCCCGTGCAGGCAGGTTTCTTACTTCGCTAGCATCCAGCTTCCTGTCGCTTCTCCGACCAGCTGCTTCTGCCCTGGCGCCATTTACACTCTTGTCACTGGCAGGCCTGGTGTCAGCAGTGACAGCCACACGCTCCATCCGATCTGCCTCAGCCGCTCTGACCCCCGCAGATGCGGCTGTGGGAGGCCCAAGACTGCTGACCACTTCTGTCCCCACCGCTGCCCTTGCCCCTGGGCTTCCTGACTGTTCATAAGCTACAGAAACGGCATCTTCTACATCAGTCTCTTCCTTTTCCAGCAGCTCACTCCCCAGGGGTTCCCCACAGGGCTCCTCCTTGTCTGGGCCACACAGACTGCTGTAAGCGGGCTTGGCTGGAGCTGGAGGGCACACTCCATCGGAATCCAAGGGACACTCATGCCTATCTTCAGGGCGACTCTCCTGCAGGGACTCCTTCTAGGCAGCAAATTAAACACAATTAGAGCTACAAAGCATCATGCTTTGCCCCTTCTCTGGAGGGTGTCTCCTCCCAAGGCAGGTCTACATTCTCCTGCAGCGGAGCAGGAATCACAAAGCTTTGGGTAACTTAGGCCAGGCCAATTCCAATGTATTTGAACTTCTCCCCCTTTGAGAAAAGGAACCTCACTGTGATGAGGGGCCCCATCGTTTAGGGCTGGACTCTGGTTTAGCAGAGCTGCTTTCAAACCCCACGGATCCCAAGTTAGTGACTGGTAACGCCCAGAGGCCAGCCCGTCAGTCGTTCACACCCTCGGCAGCACTCACACCGCCTTGGGCATTGCCACCTGCTTGGGAAGAGAAGTCAGTCAGAACAGGAGAGAGTGTTATTGGTTTTTTAACTTCTGCTTGGAACCGTCAGGCAGGCCAGGTAACAGGCCACGCCCACGGCATTGTCCACCTCGGCTCCAGGCCAAGGAGACACGCAGGATTTGAACCCCCCAATCTTCAGGCCCCTAATGAGATGATACCGACAGGAGCCAAGGGACTCGTCTAGCCTAAGGCCCCCGAACAGGGCGGATTAGACTTGGGTCTGAACAAGCTTAGTCACCCAAAGCTCCACCAGCAGCTCAGCAAACTCCCGGCAAAAGTGCAACCCCCAGGAGACAGCTGTGGGATGCAGAGCAAGCCGCTGACAGGGCTTTGCTTCTCACTCTTGTATCAATGCTGTGCGACTTGTCAGAGGCTGCAGCGGAAGCCTTTGCAGTTTGCACTGCACACAGATGGCATATTCCAGCTGGGTATTTTTACCAAGGTGTCACTAAAACGGTGTCACTTTGAAGCCCAAAATGCCAAGGTACGAGGAGGCCTAGCCGGCTGCCTTTTCGATGAGGGAATTTAGCAGGACCCAGGAGATTTATTAGCTGAGTTGGGGAGAGCAAAGCAAGAACTCAAACCGGGGCAGCCTCCCCAAACACTGCCTCACAGCTGTATCTCAGAGAGTCACCAGATCACAGCGTGAACCTACATCAGCTCAGGGCCCAGGCAATACAGGCTTACAGATGAATGACTAGCATTGCTCAGCTCCACAGGGCTTTTCAAAGGGACGGGAAGGCTCAAGAATGGGTTTGTTTCACAAACTAGAAGAATTGTAGATTTTCCCTGACATTACCCCACCAAACTCCCAGTGCTGAGCAAGTGTCTCGCACTCCTGGATGGTCCTGGGTCGAAGGAGGTTGGCCACTGACTGATGCCACTGCATAAGTCTGTTTTAGAATGTATTTGTTTTACCACTAAGCAGCCAAGATGCCTAGTGATGGTCGCCCATTTCCAATCTCATTCCACAGGGTATGTTACAGTGTAGGAGAGTACATGTGCCCAACATGACCCTGCTCCAGGAACACATCAAGCTACAAGTCTATTCTTCTCTTTGATGAACACAACTCCCCTCTGCATTCATCGGAGGTCACGTTTTACCTGACACACTGGAATGGCTCAGAAGCATTGTAAGAAGGGCAAGCCTGTTTTCCGAATGTTATATCCATGCAGTTCTATAAAAGAGTGACTCATGAAACCAGACACAAGCAGAAATGCAAAAGCTCCCATTTTGAGAGGGCAGAGCAAATTCTACCAGGTTGTAATTGGCACTAGCTATTTCAAGCTGTAAGATATTTTACTGCAGCTCACTTTCACTCAATGGTGTGAAATTCCTGCCTATCAAATAAACTGAACATCCCACTGATCCGCATGGACCCGCAGCAAACACATCAGTACCAATGGACAGAGTAATCCTCGATACGCAGCGATGAATATCACTAAAGCTGAATTGCTGCTCACCATGGAAAAGCAACGCAGCAATGCTGCTTGTTGGTTTGTATTTAACCAAGTTAACGCAAAAGATCATCATGCTGGGAACTGAGCTTTGAAAACAAACATACGGCACACACAATTCTTCTGAAACGGGAGCTCTTAGGCTTGTATTGCTTGAAGCCAGACTCTGCTGGGAAAACAAGCACACAAAGCGGTGCAGGATCTGCAGCATTAGCCTGGGAAGTTTTCCCATTTGCTGCTCAGGTTGATAAATCTTTTCCAAACAGCAGAGGAAGACAACCACCATCTGACTCGATTGCAGCCCCAGCAGATTGCTCTTTCCCACTCCACGCAAAGCTTCAGAGCCACCATGCAAGGCCGTTCTCGCAGAGGCCCACTGGTCACCTCTCAGACTTCCAGCTGCATCTTCAGAATTCCTTACGTGTGGGAGCCAGGTTCTGGGACACTGGCTAACAGCAGAGCCCTGCAAATCTGTGGTTTTCAGCTTTATATCCACAGCTACGCACATCCGCAGGTGGAGGCGGATATCCACAGATCATTTTTGAGCACAGAGCTCTACTACCAGGGTACCACAAACGTTGTCTTCTGCCCAGCAGCTGCCCTGATGGGCAGAACACTTCACCGCTGCTAGCCAAAACTCATCGGTCACCCCTTTGCACTGGGGGCGCGTAAGATGCATTTCATGTACTTTCCTCCTGCACACTGTACAGGCATTTCACAGCTTACATCTCTTACAGGTGCTGTTGAAATGCAAGAGGGGTCTGGAATGTTCAAGCCCTGAAGACATATATCCTCCCCCCCCCCCAAAAAAAAACAACTAACCAGACTGATTTGGATACGTTGGAACCAACAGATAGTGATCCTATAAGCCAAGAACAGAATCCAGAGCGTCAGAGACACTTAAATCACTCACTTCACCTGAGACGTCCCCGGAGGTCTGAGACAGACACAGATTACCAAGATGACTGACATCAAGGACTAACTTCATCCCCTCTACAAACCCTCTTCTACCAAGACAGACCCTGGACGGGATGCTACGCTGGCAGCAAAAGGGCAATGATGGAGACAACCCCAAATGGGGATACATGGCCATTCCGCCTAATGAATTCACTGCTGTGGTTAGCAGCTCCTGTAAGCTTTACCTTTGGCTGAAAGGGCAAAGCTGCTCTTCCACATCTGTAAGACACACTGAGAAGCCCTGCATCCGGGATTCCCAAATCTCACACTGTACATGCTCTGCATGTTTCACTGCTTCTGCTTTACAAACTGCTGGTCAGGCAATTAATTCACTGTTCTACCAAGCGCTCTCTGCTTCAGGGGCTTGTTCCGCTGGCCTGCGGAGAAGGCTAGTGGTTACAGAAGTTGCTAACCATGCTCTCCACTACAATGGAGTATAACGCAATGAACAGCTTATCTATTTTTACCCTAAGCTAATCGACACTGCAACGATTTATGGATGTCCGGGGAGACTCACATGTCTTCCTCGGAACACACAACACTCCCTCCTGCACACACGTCTCTGCATTAATGCAAACCAGCACACTCGTCTGTGCTGCAGTTAGCTAGGGAGCTGGTTTGCCTCACACATTTCCATCTGCTACACAACTGCTGTATTTTAATTTTCCATGGCATAGCTAGGCCCCGAGACTCCCAATGTTACCTGCAGACAGGCCTTTCTGGAACGCAGAACGCTAATTGTCATGCACAATTTCCTATTGCCAGGCCCCCACAGCCAGAAGCCTTCAGGTCTCTCCCAGGAAGTATTTCAGTATTCCCAGTCATGTTAATACAATCGCTGCTGCGATGACCCCAGCAACCCCCAGCCATAGGTTCAGAGAACATGTCATTCAAACCCCTCCCTACCTTCCCAACCCACAGAAAGACACTTTCCATTTGCACAAAAGCAAGTCTCAAGTTTTCCAATAGCTGACTGCTTTGACTCCCCCCGCCCCGGGTAAGTTCCTCAGCTCAGGGGGCTGTACGATTCATTTCCAGTTCTCCTGCGCTTGGACCAGATTCATTTCATTCTTTAAAGACTCCTTTCCAGCAAACATTGCTGCACCACGGCCCTTCTCTACAACTATCACCCACTGTCTTGACTGGATTTTTACCAGCTCTGCAGCCACGCTGGCTTCTCCCTGCACCCCATCACTTCTCACACTCTCTTTGGGGCCTGCTTCACACACCTTCTCTTCCTTTGATTTTGGCAGCAAGCTAGTGAATGGCTTGGGCTGTGGAGAGAGACTTGGCTAGCGTTCATGCTTTTCTACTGTCATCTGATGGAATTAAATGTAAATGATAACGTCCAGTGGGGAATTAATAACCCATCAGGACTCCAGAGACCATCCATCTAGGTTAGTAGTTCTTAAGAGGCAGTCTGGCTGTCCCGGGCCAATTGCCATTCCATCATAGATTCCCAACGCCCTGCCAAGCAATCAAATGCAAAGCGCTCTCTTTGTTCCTAGCCACATTAGCATTTTGGTGGCACACTGGGCCCCAACAGATCTCTTGTTCTGGAGATTGGGGTAGCTTGACTCCTTCCTATTCACATCCAACTTCACACAAGCTGCCTTGCACACTATGCCCAGCGCAGCAAACAAGTTCTCCAGCACACCATTTGAAAGCTTACCATCCACGTGCCACGAGAAAGTATAATGAAAACACTACATGGCATTTTAAAAATCAATTAATTTGCCTCAGATGCTGGAGCCAAATTTTAAATGCACTGAGAAGGGATTAATGCCCACACTTCTACAAAAGGACAGCAGTTAGCACTAGTTACAGGACAAGTTTCAAAGTGCAGCCATTTTTTAAACTGACCTACACGATGAAAAGAACGTGGTAATTTTTACTGCTTTTTGAAAATTGGAATTTCTACCTAACCAGCTCACAAGCAGAAAATCCAAAGAAAGTCTGGTTGCATTTTGTTCAGACTTAAAAAAAAAAAAGACTCACCTTTGGACAGAGATCAAGGAAAATGTCATCCCACACAGTGATTTTTTTAGAAAATTATCATGTGAAAACAAAGGGGGCATACATTAAAATCATATGCAGCCTGAACGACAGTGAGTTCTACAGAAATACTGCACAACCCACAAAGTTATTTTATGCAAACTAATGTTACTTCATCAGCCTCATTAAAAATGCAATCCCAGAACCTCTCTTAAAAAGCCTAGTTACAAACATATTGTTTGTGTCATTTGCAGGACAGTAACTAATGAACAGCAAAGCAGCTCATCCCCAAATACCCCTCCCCCCTCTTGCACCTGGGACAATCTATCTAGCTCATCATTACTATCTCGAGTGGCTCACTTTCCTCCTAAATGCCCATGATGGTTCCAAAGACTCACCCTTTCTTACCTCATACTCAAAGCCGTCTCCTAGGGCACTAATGTCCATGTGCAAATTTCTGAGCAGTCTCGCTGTCCCACGGGGAGTCTATATATTTAAAAAAAGAAAACAACAGCAGATGACTCTGGATCTTTGCAACTTGTCAGACTTAAGGTCATACCTGGGGGCATTCTAGGAGTTATTAACTGGTGGAAACAGGGCAGAACTATGTGTTGAAGCAACATTATGTGACCACCTGATTAGCAGAGTATTCTCTGCACGTGCAAATGACGGCTAGCTACGCCTGGCAAGCGGGTGCTCCACACTGACGTGTGGGTGGCCATCATTTGCATTGGTAGAGAAATAATCTGTGTGAGCCCATTCATTTGTGATCTCATTGCAGTATCGGGGAATGGCAGCTCAGGGTAGCAATCTCCTGCCCCACCAGACAAGGAGTACCAGTGTCTATTCCCTCACTCCCTTTCTGGGATCTCCCCCCGCACACACACCCTATCCCTAACCCCACACAACCAACACAAGGCAATCACAGAAATCCAGCAGCTTTCTCAGTGCTCTCACTACCTGATCTTCACTCTCTTCTTCCTCTTCCCCCTCCTCTAGAGCAAGGAGATTGAAGGAGGCTTTTCCGTCATGCATGGATCCCAGCAAGCTTCTAGTGAGGCCAGAGGGTTTAATGGTCTGTGGAGCCTGGAAAGCCAAAAAAAAGGGGGGAGAGTAGTTAGAGGAGAGAAAACCAAATGGGCAAGTGGAGACAGGTGTCTACTCGGGCATGCCCAATTCCATGCCTAGCAAAGGGACTCTCTCCAGCTTACTAGCACAGTCAAACAGCCAGAAAATCAAGGAATATGCAGGCTACCTTGATGGTTTGAGACACTGTTATTTTGTAGAGAGTCACTGCAAATACAGGCGGCCCCTGACTTGCGATGCGATTAGTTCCTGGGGAAGCGTCTCAAGTCGGGGGCGTCATAACTGGAACCCTCATTTACAATAGGCATCGTGCACCGTCGTAAATGCCGGCCGAGGACGTAAGTCGGGGCCTTTTGGCCCCTTCCGCACTTACAAAAAAGGTTATAAGTGCAGGAGTCGCAACTCAGGCGGTCGCATCTCAGGGGGTTCCTGTAAATCTTCACTACTGAGGTGGTGAGTTCGGCTTTAGGAGAAGTTTCCATTAAAGCAGAGGGGCTCTCACTGTAAACAAACACGCATGGAAAGTCTCTCCACGCAAGAAAATACAAATTCGTCCAGCTGGATTTGCAACAGACTCCCTCCGCCCTCTGTGTTTTCTTAGATGACTGTGGTGCTGACGGAAGGTGGAAGATGGATAGCTCTGGGGACGCACAACCTCTATACTCTAAGGATGTTGAGTAACGGTTAATTGACTAGTTGAGTAGTCGATGGAATTTCCATTGACTAGTCCATAGGCACATCTGCATTCCTCCTTTGAAACATACAAGAGCACCCGCTGGGGACTCCTGTACATTTCAAAGGAGGAATGCGGATCTCTGTGTGCAGCCCAGGACCAGTGGGAAGTCCCGCTAACTCCCGGCTGCATGTGGCGTGCCAGCTTTGAAATGTACAGGAATCCCCAGCGGGGCCTCTTGTGCATTGCAAAGCGGCAGCGCAGCATGGAGCAGTCCACGCTACGCTGCTGATTTCAAATGCCATGCGGAGCTGGGGTCAGCTGGGGACTCCAGAGGCGGCATTTCAAAGGGGCAGTGCTGCACAGCTGAGCCAGGGATCAGCTGTGCAGTGCTGCCCCTTTGAATGCCGCCTTGGTGTTTCAAAGCGGCAGTGCCACACAGCTGATCCCAGGCTCAGCTGTGCGGCACTGCCGCTTTGAAGTTCCCCCTCTTCCCCCACTTTGCTGGTTCTATCTGACAGAGGCAGCGGGGGATGGGGAGGGGGGAATTGACTAGTCAACTAGTCCTTAACATCCTTAGTGTACTCACCAAACAGCAGTAAAACTTCTCACTCACTTGTTTACAGAGCAAGTTACTGAGAGGCAAGCCAGCCTGGGCATCTGCAGCCTCCCAGCTCTGCATTCAGTAACATCCCAGCCGGACACTGCCACCGTGCTCTCAAAGTCACCTCTCCCCCAAGATTTCAGCCTGCAGCTGCCATGTCCACACAACAGGCTGGTGCACTGCAGAGTCACACCCTGGTCCGCCACATAGCAACTGGCTTGTGAGCAAGCCCTGTGTCTCAGCTTTCTGCTGAGGGACCTCTTCTAGGCAGACAAAAGGCAGTTCAGTCTCTAGCCCATTCCTTCCTTCCCCTCTCTGCAGTGAGCAATGAGGGGCGGGCGGGGGGCCATTTTACAAACTGAACGTTTCCACTCCGGGCCGGACCGGAGGCCCAACTGCTCATTTCGCTGTCAGATGGGAACTGTTGCTCAGCCATGACTGTGACAGCACCTGCGGTGTCCTATTAGCAGACCGAGTGAGCGCCCGGTCATCCCTGGCAGAATTAATATGCAAATGCTATAACGCCAGGCACATGCATGAGAACGCCCATGCCGAGAGAGGCGCAACGCCTACGCTCCAGCGTGTCCGGTCCCGTTGGGCTAGATGCCGTACAAATGGGAGGCAGAGGAAGGAATCGTACTTCGCGTTTCTAAGCAGGCTTCACAAAGCCAGCATAACGAGTGTGGAAGCGGGACAGGGCTATTGCCATTGAAACACCATGCTGGCATTTGGGACAGTTTCCTCAAAACATGGTGCGCTGGAATAAACACGCCCCAAAGCAAGTTTGCAATGAAAACGGAGAGTTACCAGAGTTGCTTCTCTGAGCAGCAGACTGGATACTCCGGAGTTCTCCACACTGGTGCTTGGTGAGCCATGGAGAGCACTACCTGGACCATCCATGGCACCACGTAAAGGAGCAAGACTCCCTGGGGGAGCCTGGACAGGTGCTAGCAGGGAACCTGGAGCCTAGGGCACGGAAAGACAAGGTAAGTATCTGGACACAACCGAGATGGAGCAAGAGAGCAGGTTCCATTTACAGTCGACAAGTAGGTACAAAGATAAAGGGCCCCTCCTATCTGAACACTGCCTGCTGCCCTCTACCCCATCTCTGCTGCAAAGCTGCTGCTGAGACCCAACGCTCAGGTGTGTGAGAAAGAACAGGTGGGTTCACTTGTGCATATAGCAATGACCCACATGTAAACCAGCTAACTGTGTTCAACAGCCAGGTGTTTGTCTGATTCACAAAGGTCACAGGAATAACACACATTAGGGAAAAGGGAAAATTAATATAGCTGGGTTGGCAAACACAGACCTTATACACGCACATTCACAAAGAAAATTATATGAATTCCTAGGAAAGGGGTTAGAACCTCGGTACTATTCTAATAAAATGAGGCCAGACAGCTTTTCCCCTCCAGGACCCCTCTGCTGCTTCTCACAGTGCTGAATAACTGAGGACTAACTGAATAACAGGTTGACAAATTAGATTTCTTGAGACGTCTATGAATTAGTGACCCGCTGTCAATAGGGGACTTTTCAACTATGAAAGCACCACAAGAGTTACTACACGCTTGGTATCTGAAACAACCCTTCCCTGCCTTGGTCCCTCCCATGCCGGCACTGCCTCGCTGTTGAGTTCTGAACGACTGGCCAGGAAAAGGGGGAGAAGCGATGCTACATGAAGCGATAGGAGCTTGGCAGCCCAACGAACCGACTGCACAGCACCTGGACTAACTGTGTAGCTTCACCCTTCAATTACCCATGGCGGGTTGCAGGGCCATGTCATCATTTTCTGGTTTGTTACTCTAGGCCGAAGAAGGCATGACAGTCTCCTGCCTTCCAGAGCTGCAGGAAGCAGGTGGTAACTTTGGCTCAGAAGCACAAATGCTTAGTGGCAGGCGATTCTGCTGCAGGACTTCACCAAGAGGCGCCTAGCAACATTTACTGGGGCTTCTCCCATATCCAGGCAAAACCCTGAAAGCAATTCCTCCCTCCATCCCAGTGAGGGGCTCGGAGCAGAGCTACACAAACTACTGGAAAGCATTAGAAATGCAAGGAGCTTGGCCTGCTTCGCTTAACGAGAAGGTGAAGGGATGTTTACCCCGTAAGTACTTACATGCAGAACAAATATTTGATCCTGTGCCTTTCAGTCTAGCAAAGGTAGAACAAGGTACCCTGGCTGGAAGATGAAGCTAGATCCAACTGGAAATAAGAGGCAGCTTTAGCAGTGAGGGTGATCAATCTCTGGGGTGGCTGCGGTGGGTTCTCGGTCACAGAGAATGTTTAAAGCAAGACAAGAGGATTTTCTAAAAGCTCTGTGCTAGCTCTAACAGAAATTAAGTCAGGGAAGTCCTGTGGCCTATGCCACGCAGGAAGTCAGACTAGATGATCACAGTGGTCCCTTCTGGCCTTGACATCTATGATTCTCCAAGGGCTGACATCAAAAAGGTCAAGCTGGGGAAAATGCCAAACTCTGCTGACCTATCAGATGAGCCAAAGTTGAAGTGCACTAGTGACGGTGGGCCGAGACACTACAAAATAGCTCGAAATCATCTGTCTTGTGCAGCAGTGACACAAACAGGCCCCCACCAACAACCTGAGCTCCCACCCCACAGAGCCGCTTCAAACTCTTCTTTACGCAGTGGAATGGTTTCTGTGGTAAGTCATAGTTTGCAATGAGCTGCTTGACATAAAACAGGAAACCAACGCCCGCGACAAATGCAGAGCACGTGTGTGTTAGCAGGGGATGTGTGCGTTGGCAGAGCCGTCTCCCGGACACTGTGTTTACACAAAATTGCAGACTGCAAACACAGTTAATTCACTAGCGTGCTGGGGACAGGAAAGGAAGCTAAATGCACACTCATCTCTCCTCCACCAAGCCGCTGCCAAGTCAGTGGTTACAGTGTAAATTACGCATTCTGAGGAACCTACTGATTTTCTACAATGGCCATTAACTATGTGTGTGGAAGTTAGTTGTCCGTTAGTGAGAAAAGCTCACTTCCACTGGGTAATCTGCAGTTTATCTGATATTTATAGTCATAGTTATTATCAGCGAAGGAGGTGGTAATTGGAAACTGAAGCTAGCAATTCGGTGCAGTCCCAGCTGGATACCAGCAATACAGAGGCAAAGCAATTCATTAACATTACACACTGGCCTTTTATTTTGTTGGATCCCCTCAGAACACACCATTTGGCAAGTCCTTATTAAACCGGAGCAATTACTTAGGAAACAAAGAGCAAGCCAGCCCAGGGCGCTCTTCACACGATGGACGAGGTGCCTCCTGCTGCATGCAGCGGACACAAGCAGCTGGGCCCACAACTAGAAACAAGGGCCTCAGCCTGCCGTGGGTGCACACACCATTGTGTCCCCTACAGCAGCGGAGAAGCTCCGCCGTGCTGCCTCTTGCGGAGAAAGAGCGAATCTCAAGCACATGCAGGTGCAAGCCAGAGCAAAACAGCTTGAGTACTTGGCATCCAACATTATGCACCACCTGGAGTTTTGTTTTTCCTCAACAAGCGCAATTGTAGCCTCAGGCAGATGTCCTAACAGCGGAGAGATGGGCGCTCTGAACACAGACAAGAACACTTCGGAGTCACTGTTTTCTCAAGAGATGAAGGGCAGAGAGTTTTAAAAGCAGCCCTGTATAGTCCAGTGCAGGGGCGGGACCCTTTTTTGGGTTGGGGGCCACTGATCTACAGAAAAAGCAGTCGGGGGCTGCACACAAGTGAGAAGCAATAAAAACCCACCACAACTCCTCTCTGATGTGGTCCCTGCGTGAGCAGGAAAAAGACCCTCCCCACATTCCCCTCCTGCACCAGAGCCTCGTGGAGCCCAGACTAGTGGGTTTTGTGTGCTCCAGCCCTGCAGTGAGGCAGCAGGGAGGAGGGCTGGAGTGTCAGCTCAGGCTCCCCGATGCTGGGGGAACCCCCGAGACTCAGGGGTTGTATCCAGGCAAGCCAGGGGCCACATTCAGCCCCTGGGCCTGAGATTCCTCACCCCAGTCTAGCGGCTGGGTTGCAGGGACAGCATGTGGGAAGTGCAGGTTTAAAACCCCATTTTAAACTTGAACAGGGTTCAAAGAAGAGCTGGATACATTCATGGAGGAAAGTCTGTCAATGGCTATTGGCCAGGGTGGGCAAGGCTGGGGTCCCTGGCCTCTGTGTGTCAGAGGCTGGGTACGGGTGTCAGGGGAGGGATCATGTGAGGATTCCCTGTTGTGTTCCCTCCCTCTGGGGCACCTGGCATTGGCCACTGCCGGCGACAGGACACTGGGCTGGATGGACCTTTGGTCTGACCCAGTCTGGCCGTTCTTACGGTCCTGTCCCGTGATATTCAAAGCAAAACACAGAAAGCGCTGCATGGCATCTGCTGTGCACCAGCACGTCTCCTGGTCACCTAGGTTTGCAACCCTTTAATGGGTGCATTGGGGTCTTCTGGCTCCCCAAGAGAGGAAGGAATGGATGGGAGAAGATTGCTTTCAGAGATGGCACCGCTCCAATTCCACCTGTGCTGATCTCCCATGAATAGACCTGACTTGTCTCTCAAGTGAGACGCATCATAAGACAACAGCAGAGGGGGTCAGTTTAGGACTGAGGTTTGCTCAAAGAAGTTTGTGCAGCACCTGCCTGCAAAAGGCCTAGCTGGGGTCACAGAGCTAAAACTCAACCTCTGTAAAATAATTTAAAAAAAAAAAAAGTGTATGCAAACCCTTTGTTTGTCTGAGTTTACCAGGAGGGGGCGGCCCCATCGAACTAATTTCTCACCTGCCCACACCCCTGCATAATCTTTTCTAACTCTCCCAATCTCTTGGTGCCTCAGTTCCTTGTTTGTGAAATGCGGACACTTTCGTTCTCCCACCGTTGGTCTATCTCGTCTGGTTAGACTGCTCACTCGTCAGGCACAGGCTGGCTCTGCGTGTTTGGACAGTGGCTACCACTGTGGGCCCTATTCCCAGCAGGAGCCTCAACACAAGAGGCAAACAAAGAAGGGAACTGCTCCTACAGATGGCTGTCTAATTAAATGCAATCATCTCAACCCATGGACTGCTCTGTCTGACCTGCTGGATAGCTCAGAAGACAGAAATAATAATGCCAGGATGTAAGCCATGGGACACTTACCATGCCAGGAAGGTCAGCAGCAGGGTATTTTTCATCCTGCATGTCAGAGCTTTCATCAAAACACACCTGCCACATCAGCTCATGTGACTTTCCCATGCAAGGTAATTTCCCTTTCTCCTGAAACTCAGCTCTGCAGCGAGACAATGCCCACCCCCAACTCCTTGGCTTCATTTAGACTGCAACAGCAGCCTTGGTACAGAGGGATTTTTAAATCTAAGCTGCCTACCTCATTACTGCCTGCTCCTTCCCACAGCGCCAGTTTGCTGTTCTCCTCAGTCGCTTTTCTGCTCTGGGTCAGCTCTCCTCCCTCCTGTCGACACGGCCTGCTGCTTTCCTGGCACTCAGCTGGCTGAGCAAGCCAGCCAGGAGGAACCTGTAAAACCTCCGGGAACAAATCTGCCTCTAGCCCTCTAGGAACTGGCTCCGTCCTTCCCTCTCCTCCTCCTGTTTCTTCTGGTCTCCCCTCAATGTTCTTCTCAGGAGCATCACGTGACCTATTCAGTTTCATGTTAAAACTGACACAGCTATGTTCCTGACTGGGCACTTGATCGTTTTCTCGCACGTGCTGAGAGCGCCTCTCATCTTCAGAGTTATACTCACTCAGCAACTTTTCGGAACTGGCTCCGTCCTTCCCTCTCCTCCTCCTGTTTCTTCTGGTCTCCCCTCAATGTTCTTCTCAGGAGCATCACGTGACCTATTCAGTTTCATGTTAAAACTGACACAGCTATGTTCCTGACTGGGCACTTGATCGTTTTCTCGCACGTGCTGAGAGCGCCTCTCATCTTCAGAGTTATACTCACTCAGCAACTTTTCAT